TAGCACCTAATTTCCCAAACACATGCTTTAATCTCTTTTTCTCTTTTATAGTTTAATAGATATGGGGTAGGATCGAAGTACCAACATTTGAGATGGTAAATAGATATTTTATCCACTAAGCTATAATCAAATTAGTAAACATATTTTTCTAAATATATATATATATATATAGTAAACATATCATAATCTACTAATTTTGCCTTTTTGAGTAATAATAATTTAGCTTAGTACAAAAACGGGATAATATATTCATATATATTCAAACATTACCAATATTATTTCCTCTCTAATTAAATTGATATATTTACTTATTGAGTTATCTTCTAATTTTCAAACCTACAGGATTATGTTGAAGTTTAATTCCTATTTTGGTCGGTTCTACTTGCAATTTTTGTCTACTTTAGTCTATATATCTATGTATTTTCAGCCTTTTTTTCGCTTTCAAAAGGCAACCATTATACCCATTGCTATACTTTTAAATGTTGGCCTTTTGGCTGTATTGTCAAAACTATAATACAAATTATAAATGAAAAAAAAAAGTCTTTTAAAACAAAGCTACCGTAATCTTTCAAAAACTTATTAAACGTAGCATTGTGCTGAAACTATCATGAAAAATAGATAGAAACAAGAAAATAAATTAGTCCAAATAGTTAGATTTTAAAAATAGATGGAACAAACTAGACATTTAAAAGGACAGAGACTAAAACAAAAATTTGAAAAAGTGAATAAAAGTTAACACGAAAAATACTTGGCTCTTTAATGATAAATGATTAAATATTGTTCTCGCCACAGTTCATTCATTTTTATAAAAAGTCTCTACATCCACACTTCTCTTTCAGTTGTCAAACATTTAAGGATAGTAAGAAGGAGATTAATGTGAAAAAAATAAAGAGTTCGGAGGGAATGAGTTAAAAAAAAAAGAGTCACCATCTTTGTCCTCGTCTCTTTCACTTTCTCATGCATATTCCACGTTATCCACCTTCAATTTTCTTCCCCAACTTGTCTATTTACTCTTTCTAAACCATCCAATTTCTATTTATCTACCACCTAAGTTACCATAAAAAAAAAACTTTTAATTTTACGTCTAATAAAATGTCTCCGTTTTGATTGGTTAATTTAATATTCTAAGTAGTTGCATGTGTTGGCGGCTTAAAACATTTGAAATATAAAATTAACGCATATTTTAACCTTTTTAAAGGGTAGAAATTAAATCAATATACCTCTAAATTTAGGGGTTAAACTATGAGCCATCCAACATCCCTTTAGCGTGTTATGAAGCAGAAGCACTCAATAAAAACTCTGTAAAAAAATATATATTTATGGTAAAACTTCTAGTAAAAAAAATGTACGAAAAAATGCGAAGGGTGTCGGTATTGAAATAAAAAAAGGATTTATATTTTGAATTTGATTTTGATGGGTTACCAGACAATGAGAGACATGGACATGAATTTGTTTGTTTGAGAAAAGTCTGTACTGTTTAAGGCTAAGCAGCAAACACGAAGCTTCACTGTTTTAATTTAGACCAAATTAGATGATGTGTGGATATTTTCATGCCATTATGCCTCGCCTCACATCCCCAAGACGTACTCATTTTCTATACTTTATATTTTAATACCGAACATCAAAGTTTACATAACAAATTAATTGTTTCAATTTGAACCTTAAATTTTAAAAAGAGAATTACTAGTATCTTAACTCGTTAGGATAAGGCCTAAATGAGATTTTAAAGGCATAGTTTAAAGTCATATAACTTTAGAACTTTTTGTATTTAATAAATTAAACAGAAATATTGACTGATCCACTAACCTTCCTTTAATTTTTTTTTTTTTTTCAAGGAACCTGTTTATGAATTTAATAATCAGTTAGAACCACTGAAATTCAACATATAAAGATGACTTCACATTCATACATTATTTATAATAGAGATGTGACTAACAGTGGTCCAAACAGAACAAAGACTTAAACTTGGCCTTCCCTTGGCTTCTTTAATGATGTTCAGAGTACTTCGTATCACTTAAATATATGACAAAAAGGAAAAGAAAAGGAATGTAAAATTTTTTAGATCTTAGAGGCATAAAACTGTAGATAGAAAGGCATGAGTGGAAGGGCTACCATGGGCCAAGATCTGTGGGGTCAATGGAGGTGTTTGTTTTCAAACTTTGAGGCAGAAAAATGGGCCAAATTCATTATAATAAGGTTGATTAATCTGAAAAATGGTACAGTAAAGGCAGTGGTGGCTCCAACCCATTTGAGTCTGTTCCTTCCCACAATCATGATTGTCCTCTTGTGCTTCATCTATTTTCTTTCTTCCATTCCCACTATCTCCCACTTTCCAACCATTTCCCTCATTCTTTTCCTCTGTTTTGAGATTGGTTTTCATTTTTAATTTGTTCGTATGGTCATATGGGTGAGCTTTGTTGAGTTTTGTGGAGCCCAATTTATTAAGAAGACTCGTTTCAAGGCTGTTTTCGAAGCTCGTATAGAAGGAAATGGAGAAATCCAGCAAATGATTATGGGGTGTCGTGGCGCTAAGAAGCTTTTTTTTTTTCCCTTTAAATGTGAGATGCTCTTATTTATAAAATCCAGCAAATGATTATGGGGTGAGTTATAAGATATATGTTAATAAATTAGTTAATAATATTTAATTAGTTTACAAATCTATTACCAACTTTTTAGAATTGAGATTCAATTTCTAAATATACTACCAACACATGATTAAAAACACTAAAAAATGTGGAATACAATTCTATTTTTCATTAATTCGATAAAATGTGGCTCTTGAATTGTAAAGTAATATTCTTTAAAAGGGTAAAAATGTGATTAAAAAAAAAATCTTTTAGCAGAGTTGGACATTTCATGAGAGTGGATTCAGGTCTGTACTGTGTAGCATCAGCCAACCAGCAGAGGGATTTACCTGCAGAGTGTGTCTTTTAAAAAACCAAAAACTGGTTCAAATTCAGCTAAAACTGAGGGTTATGAAAATGGGCATACAACAAAAAGATATGTTTGTTGATTGTGGAGGAGGGTTTTTTCTTTTTCTATGATTGTATGAAATGGATGTGTATAAAGAACAGGTCATCATAACCACTTTTGGAGTTGCCAAATGCCAACCAGTCCTTAAATTGAGGGAAAAGTGCTAAATGAAAGCAACCAACAAACTCATTGCTAATAAAAGCCTTATCAGAAAGGGCAACTGACATCAAAAAAAAAAAAAAAAAAGGTTTGGAGGCTGAGGCTGTCAATTATTACCATTCAAAATAGAGAGTGTGAGAGAGAGAAGAAAAGAAGAGTGTCCAAATAAATATTTTAACATTCCAATAGTCATTGAGACAACACATCATCACACTCCACACACCATCTCTATAAGGGATGTTGTGAGATGAAATTTTGGCACATAATCACTCAAAACCCAGAACAGTGAATTATTGCAAGTGGTAATATTGTCGAGAATTGCACCCAAAAGAAAAAAAGAAAGAAAGAAAAAAAAGATCTTGGGGTGTTCCTTGTAAGGGAAAGGCACATGACTGCATAATTAGGGCCTCCCACTCCCACTCCCACTCAGCCCCTGTTGCAACCACCAAACACTAATGGCTAATTTGTTGTGGTGGTCAACTTGGCAATGTTCATAACATGTTCTAAGAAAATGACCAATGCCAATCAAATCCACAGATCATGTTAAGTGAATTATGATACCAATTATTCCATGTGTAATAATTTGACAAACTGATACATGGTTCAAAATTTAATTTCCTTTCCTCCCTAAAATGGATAAACTAGAGCTACCTAACCATTTGGGACCAGGTTCCTTATTTTGCTTGTTCATAAATTATTCCCCCAACCCACCCAAAAGAGAGAAAATTAATCATCTTGATTAAGATTTCTTCATCATCATCATCTTGATAGACCTTGTAGGTTCAAATCATAATAACTATAGGCTTACATATTAAATATCTCATAAATTTTCTAATGCATTGATATTGTAGAGTAGGATAAAAAAATGGTCCTAATGCTAATAGAATTAGTTGAAAGGCACATAGCTAGCTCAAAAGCTCATAATTATCCAAAAAGACCTTTAATTTTTCATACTTGTGTGTATTATATTCCCTTGAGTACAGTTTAGAATGTAGGGTTCACAGATCACATGGTAATTTGGTCGTGAGCCTATCTGTGTTAACCCAGAAAGTTATCGTGTAATTAATGGACATGGCGTATGGTGGGATTTCATTTCCAAAGTTCACAAAACTCTATCTATGGATCTTTAAATCAATAGGTTATCCTTTGTTGTTTTTTGCAAAGCCAACTGATTAAAGACCATTAAGACAATTAACTTAATCCAGGGTAGCATCAATCATTCTAATGTCAGCCACTTCTAAAATATGTAGCACGTCCCAGTTACCTTAACTTCTTCAAAATGCTATGGGTTTACATTGAAAGTCAGCCTATATGAAGACATAGAAGTTCATAAAATGCATAAAGCCTTCAACCCATGGAAAAAAGTAAACTGTAATCAACAAAATTATATGATAAATCCTAGCATTGTTTGATAAGTTCTACTACTACAATTAATTCATTAAATGGGGTGAAAGAAGACATAAAAGAGACAGAAAGAAGTTCGAAGTTACTTTAGTGCATCGTGCATGAGAAGATATACAGGCAATGACAATAGTTCAAAAAAGAATACCCCAGATCATGGTTTAAAAAAAAAGACTAATAATACGTACTATGCATGGCGAGTGAAGGTGGTATTTCTGTCTGGATGTAAGGATATGAATGGAACAAGAGAAATCATCCCAATTGGTATGCCAATATTCCCTTTGGCTTCCCGTAGACACTATGATTACAAAGAAAAAACCATTAAGATCAAGACTGATAATGTTGTTGAGCTGGTGAAAAGTTGAGAAAATAGAAATTAAGAGAAAGAGTAGGGCAAAACTTGTCTTTGTCTAGGGAGGAAAAAATTCAAAGTGCAGCTGCATAAAAAGAAATATGTGCTCATGAAATGAAATTTTGAATAAATATCATAGACCCAAGAGATCAACTCATCAACTCAAGTTGCAACAACTTCAGAGCATCACAAGTTTTTCTTTGATCACAAAAACAATTAACCACAGTACTCCACAATTCTCTCTGTGGAATACATCCATTAATTACCATCTCATCCAGAATTCTATAGGTTTTTTGGAGATCTCTTTTTTTACAGAAGCATTTTAATAAACCATCAAAAGTATCAACAGTGATACTAATACCACGTGTCTGCACACTAAGATACAACTGAAATGCACGACTTGAATCGTTGATAGTGCAGAGACCGTCGATTACTCTGTTATGAGTCCTGACATGAAGGCTCCATGTTACTCTATTGGGCGTGATCCCACCAAGGACCATTTCATCCAAGAAGTTTGCAGCTTCTTGGAATCTGCTAGTATCACAGAGGCCATTTACTATTTTCCCATACAACCCGGCGTCTGGTTTCAAACCTTGAAGTTTCATCCTGTCGAGAATCTCTAAAGCTTCATTCAGTTTTCCTTCTTTACAAAGTCCATTAATCAATGTACTATAACTGATCATGTTCGGCCTCAATCGTTTTTGGACCATCAGCTCCAAGAGGTCTCTAGCTCGTGAAGAATGACCAGCCTTGCAAAATCCATCCATTAGGGAACTGTAAGTAAACACATTAGGTTCAATACCCTTGCCCATCATATCTTCAAGTAATCCCACGGCTTCGTCTACATTGTTCAACTGACACAAACCATGTATCAGTGAAGTATAGGTGACAACAGATGGTGAACAACCTTTGGTCTCCATCTCTTGCAATAATTCCTTTGCTTCAACAATCTTTCCCAATTTACATAACCCATTGATCAGAGTTCCATATGTATATGAATCAGGCTCACACCCATGATTAGACATTTCGCGTAAGATGTGCATTGCTTTATCCATGGTTCCACTATTCTTGCAAAAGGCTTTGATTAGAACATTGAGAGAAGCTACAGTAGGTGGAAAACCCATTTTTCTCATATATCTATAAAACCTTAGAGCCAATTTTAATTGATTTTCTTCAACAAGAATAGCAAACACTGTAATGTAAGATTTCTCTGTAGGCTTGCATTGGAAATCCTCCATTTTGTGGAAAATTCGAATGGAATCCAATGGCTTATGGACACGACCATATGCCCTACAAATAGTGAGAAATATATCCTCGGTTACATCAAACTTCTCTTCATTCATCCTATCAAGAAGTGTTTCTGCTGACCTGAACTGGTTTGCAGAAACTAACTTACTAATCATGAGCCTAAAAGTATTGAGATCATGCTTAAAACCGTTGGCATACTCAGATGTTGCAGAGTCAAATATGAGAAGTGCCTTGTTTATGTCTCGTTCCGCTTGGATTAGCTGTTCAACATGTGAAGGTGTGACTGTTTTTGCCCATTTAAACATTGCCTTACTGCCCATCGTTCCTCTCTTTCTTAAAGCATCAAACTTTCCAACTTCTGATTGAACCTGGAGCATATGAATCTTTTTAATACTTTCAAGTCCATAGTTTCCTAATGCAAAAAAATTAACCGTAGTTCAAATAAACTCAAGTTTACAATTCACAAAAAACAATGTCAAACAAATACATCAAACCAATGATAATGGTTTTATTGTTTTAGATGATACAACACCCACTGTTAACCACACTATATATAATTCTAAAGCATTCCACAACAAATCGAGTTTCTTAACAATTAATGAAAGAAGTTGTCGCTACTAAGAGTAAAATACATGGGGAAATTTGGTAAATAAAATAGCTAAACAAAAGAGGGATAAATGTCTTTAGTTCTCATACTAACTGGATAGAAACTCACATTTTTTTAACAATAGAGAATGTATGTTTTGCTGACTTTAAACCGGACTGCCTTTTGTTTTGTTTGTTCTAAAAAATAAAATTTAATTTAATCCTTCCATCCTGACTGCCTGTATCTCACATTAGCTGCAGAAAACTACCCGACGTTTCACAGATGACTGATGAGTGAGTCAACCTGTTTTAGTTTTCATTTCTATAGAACCCTTTCTAATAGAGAAACTGATGAGTTAGCTCCACTTCTTCCATAATCGTCTCCCATTCTTTTTCTCTAAGCATTGGGATTGTTTCATCCCACAAAAATGTTAGTTATTTTCTTGGCTCGTTGCACTTGGGAGGATTGACCCCTTTAAATTCATTCAGATGCATCTAATTTTGTTCTTTGAAGGCTTGTTTCTGGGCTTGCTTTGTTATGCTATTGTTCCTGCTTCTAATACTTGCTTTGTTCATCTGCCACTATACTAAAGAAAAAAACTTAAGCTAGGTAAATTATTTTTACATATATTCTCACTAATGTTGTGTAAAATTTTGACTTCGTAGCATATTGATTCATCAATTTCTTATTCCATGCACCTTTCCCAAAACTTTGTCATTGCAATACAACCCCTGAATAGCAGTCGGAGTAGGGAATGGTCCAAAACGGTCACACGCAAACAAGTATCAGAATTGATTTTCTTCTTCCGTAGTACAAGTGAACAAATTCTGAAAAAAATAAAATTTGCCAAACATTTTTCATCAGTTATGTCCTACTGCCCACGCACCAGGCTTCTGCAAATCAAAGAGGGGGGACGTACCTGTCGCCGGAGTGCAGGCTAGTTAGCTTCGGTAGACGGGAGAGGTAGAATGGAAGAATCTGCAGGGGAACGACTGAAACTGTGGAGCAGGTAGACGTAGAAAAACTGCAGAATCAGCGTTTGGTATGGTAGGGCTGCAACAGGAGGGGGATGGCAAATCTCAATGGAGGCTAAAAATGTCATTTCAATTTAATCATGTTCAAGGATTCGGGGGAATTCGAATTCATATCCGTGACCTGTTCGAGAGAGATGTCGATTATCACTAATGACGTGTTCTTTAAGATCGGGCCGCATGGAAAAATAGATATTTTAGAGTTTAAGTTGCTTTATTATTACCCTAATTCGGATAAGACATCTTGTTTATAATCTAGAGGTTGAAAGTTTAATTTATGAGATGAGTAATGTTACGACTAATTAGGTTATCTTAATTCTTATTGGAAGTGTTGAGATTGATCTATAATAAATTTGATGAAATTGTATTTAGTATTTTGATGGAAAATTTGAAGAAAAATTAAATCAATTAGATATATCACATCATCAATTATTTTAACAATATTTTTCTTATTACAACAAAATTACCATAATTTATGATTTAATATATATTCGAGTATAACCCATAAGAATAGGAATTGAACTTTCAACCTCTTGGATCTTAATTGGAAATATATATTAATTATCGCTTGCTTTGCCATTTAACAAATATTTTAAGATTGGATAAAGAAAATAAATACAATTTAAAAGCATTTACATAAATAGTATAAAATAAACATGTGGTCTAAAACCTTTTTAGCAATGTTGAAAATTTAAAAATTAGTGCAGTCTAAAGTAAACTAAAACCCAAACTTATGTTAGTATAAAATATATTGAAAAGGTCACGTTTATATTACAGAAAAAAAAAAAGTTAAGAGTTGTAACCTTCTAAAATTTAATATTAAATTTATAAAAGTCATTTATGTTGTTTTTTTAGAACAAGTGTTAGTTCGTAGCATCTAATAAATCTTTATGGTAATTTAACCACTAATTATATAAACAACTGTTAAAATAAATTATAATAATTTACTAAACATCAAGCTTGAGATAAAAAATTAACTTTATTTAGTGCACTACATCTATTATTAAATAAGTTCATTAAAATTTATAAATTAACAAAAAATAAACCAATTCTATTATTTTTTGTTGGAATCTTATCTATTTTATACTAAATATATATTATATAATCTGTGAGAGGCACATAAGAATACTTTTTAAGAGATTGTTCAAACAAAAATGTATTAAAATATAAAAATTACAATACTTTTTAAAGATTAAGTAAAGATTGGAATCTTCTTGAAAAAAAAAGGTGAAGATTACCTAAATTTAGGGTTTAGCTTGATCAAATTGAAATTTGAGAGTTAATTTTTTTATTTTTGAAATAAAAGTTAAAATTGATATAATATAAATATTAAATAGATTCTTATTACATGGATCACGTGGCTCCACGGGATTCCAAAGATGCAAAGAATCGAAAGATCAACGGCCTCATCAGTAAGTTAATAGCACGAGACGTGAAACCTTTCTTGATCTTCCACACCCGTAAGATATTGACACGTGTACTTCTAAAAGTATCTGGAAAAGTAATCAATGGTTTAAATGCTCCCTGACCAATTAATTTCCATTCCGGCCGTCCAGATTTCGCCACCTCCTCCAAGGAGTTGCCCTCATCGTCGTTTCGAGCCGAGAAAGATTATTATAATATTATTATCTTCACGATTCAGGATTCACTAACTCAGCTACTTCGTTCCTCCAGCGTCGAGCGACAGCTCCACCTCCATGTAATTTCAGCAATCGAGCTTGAATTTCTCAAATGTCTGTCTTATCGTTACCAGTTCTCAGTTTCAATCCTGCTCGATCAAGCCTTTCGTTTTCATCCCCCATCGTTCTCTTCCCCCCATTTTCAGTTCGCGCCACGAGATTTTCTTCGCGTCCGGTCTTTTGTCAGGCGTCCAATGGTACCAACCCGACTAGCGAGACTGTTTCCGCTGGGTCAACAATATCAGTCGACAACTCTGAGGAGGCTGAGTCCACCGCGTTTGTGATTCGGGCCCGCAACCGAATCGGCCTCCTCCAGGTGATCACCAGGGTTTTCAAGGTCCTCGGATTAAGCATAGACAAGGCTACTGTGGAGTTCGAGGGCAAATACTTCACGAAGAAGTTCTTTGTCAGCGATTCTCATGGAAATAAGATTGAAAACCAGGAGAGCATTGATAGGATCAAGAAGGCACTGATGGAAGCGATCGACGGCGATGACTTGACGATCTCCGCCGGACCTGCCACTCGTGGCATTGTGGTGAGGAGGCCTGGGTTGTTGCCTGCCTCAGGAGAACGGATGGCGAAGGTGGAAAGGATGTTCGAGCTGATGGACGGCTTTTTGAAGAATGATCCGCTGAGCCTTCAAAAGGATATTCTCGATCACGTAGAGTACACAGTTGCCCGGTCTCGCTTTAGCTTCGATGATTTTGAAGCTTTCCAGGTAATGCCGTTAAGTTCATTTCAAACTCCAAATAAATATTTTGAAGTACAAAAAAATTTCGAGTAGTCAATTCAAGAACACTCGTGACGTACAAAATGTATCGTAGCGATTTATTTGGACTGGATTGAAAAGCGCCTAATTATGGGGAAAATGTATTCCTGCTGTTCAGACGTATGATTATATGTGGAACTTAGTAAGTATCACATTTACTTGGACAAACGATAAGCTGTAAGGTTTGACTTGAACCACGAGTTAATAAGCAAATTGGAGTTGGCAAAAATGTTACGTGCATATCATTGAGTTTGTAAATAGTTGCCACTGCGTGAGAACAACTAAGTGCAATTTTAGGCTAATTGAACAATCTAAGGAATAGATCCTACAATTACCTAATGAAATAAGCTTGATCCATATCTGAATTATTTCTAATTTATTTTCTTTCCTTTCAGTTTTAACATTTAAAGGTCAATTTTTTGATATAAATATTGAACTCTCTCATTTGTAGGAAAACGTATACGAAGTTATTTTGTTTTTTTTTCCTTTAAAATTTAAATATTATATATTACAACAATCTCACACTCATAAAAGTTGTTTAAATTAATAAATTTGAATACGAGACTGCTTACGGAAGTTATAAATCATCACTATTATACTTGTACCCCAATCATCTACGTTTGTATTATACTTCTCCATATTTCATATTTTTTTTACTACATTTCGGTAAAGAAATATGATTTTTATTCGGGATACTGATATCAAACCTTCTAATTTAATGAAAAATCAATGAAAATACTGGCATGTAAATTTTACTCCATGGCTGTAACTATATGTGTTGCAATGCAACCTTATTCTCAAAGAATTAACAGGGTAGAGTTGTCTTTGTTGGCATCTTTTCCTATCAACCCAAGCAGCATGTTTTGTGATATGTAGGTATGGCCTTTATTTCTAAATATAAAACTACAAAGGCATCAAAATCCCGAATCGTATTGTGCTATTGGCCATTTGTTGTTGTCTTCATCATAATTTGATTTTAAATAGTGGTGCCTGTAGGCTTTATCTCATTGCATACGAGATCGGTTGATTGAACGATGGCATGATACACAACTACACTTCAAGAGGAAAGATCCTAAGCGCGTATACTTTCTCTCACTTGAGTATCTTATGGGTATTTATGCACTTTTCTGGAGTTAAGAGTTACCTTTGGCAATTGCAGTGTTGTTTTCTCTATCAAAGTATCATAAGCTGGTAATGCGATAAAAAGGTTTTCTTATTACGATAATTATGGTTTCAGCAATACGTTTCCTTTTGGGGACTTCTAAGAGATGTTGAGACTTGATGTTTCTTTGAAATGGAGTACAGTGTTTGTGTTACTCCTTTCTGAATTCTCTTGTAAAGTCCGTTAGTATGTTGGTCTTAGCTGTTTGCTGCTGTTGTTAAACAACTGTCGACTGACAGTTTGATCAGCTACAGATATAGCAGTCCTTTCATTTGGTTGACAGTTGACACTAGATTATGAGTATTAAACCCATTTTTAACATATTATTTCAGTAATTGAATAATTAAACCCATTTGTAACATATTTTTGTTTCTAAAAAAAAAAAAATCAAGCTTATCCAACATGAAACTGCTTTTTTTTTTTTTGTACATAATCATGAAACTTTTAATATTTAGTTTGACAATACATAATCATAGCAGAACTGTCCTCATTCTCGTTGTGGAAAATGGTACTTTGAGTTGTGTTGCCTTATTTTCATCATAATCTTTTTAACTTCAATATTTTACCTACTTTTAAAGTTTCAGGTCTTGCTTTTTGATAGGACTGTAATTTAATCCACATGTTCTATTGCCTCATATCCTGCATGGCGATCAGATTAGGATGAAAGACCACATTACCGTGTGTCATTTCTTTCTTTCTTTCTTTTTTTCCCATCTAATGTATTAATTCACATTTTTTTATGCTCATTTTGATCTTACTCTTGGTTATATTTAATCTGAACTTGTGTTTTGGACTTTTGGTTTAATATCTCAATGTTACTTCATCTGGTTATATGCTCTTGAGGATCAATTTCTCTCTCTTACATCGTCTCTTATACTCGTTCCCCTGCTACCATTTGTTTTCTATAACTGTAATTTAGCAAACGTTCTACCTGAGTGAACTTTTTTACATCTTTTTGTAGTCCTTGGTTGTTGACTATTGATACCAATATAAAGCTTTGTTTGAAACCAGGTCGTTCTTTGTCAAATAGTATTATCAACCTTGGCATCCGTGACCAATGTGCTGATGCTCTGAGCCAACTTGGTTTTGAGTTTGAAGTTCTGGCAGAGCAGGTTGGTGCATACTTGGTACTTGGTAGTCAGTTTGTTGTCCATAATCCCTTCAATCTTAGCTTTCTTGAATGGTTCAGCTGAATTAGATCTCTAACTTGACGCTGCTATTTTTCTTCATCTATAGTATACCATATATAAATTGTGTTACAGAAGAGAAACTTTATGTTCTTATTCACCCTTCAATTTGTATTGGTTCCTATTTTTCCCTTCATTTTTCCAAAACTAAAAGATAATGTCAAATAAACCCAAAATTGATCTTACTTGCATGTATTAATTGATTAGTACTCTTGAATTTGACACGGTTTCTTTTGGATTTATGCTACACTGCATGGATATATAAGAGTCTGAACATGGATGTGGATATTACAATTTTATAACCTCTGTAAGAAGAGT